ATCAGTATATATTTCATTGTAACAATATTTATGACAGGACAAGATATTTGAATACTACAAGTTTCATGCAGAATTAAATTATAAAAATATTTGACGTTCATAAAGGTGGGATTTTGAGACGCGTCTGCCGTGAGACGCGTCATCAAAAAAGTGAGATTTAGTATTTGGTATTTGTTGACAGATGCGTGCTTTTGGAGTCTGTATTTAAATGTAACAAGTTTCATGCAGCATTAACTGACACCATTTTTATGGTCAAAAAGGTGAGGTTTTAAATTGCATCTACCATGCGTATCCAGTAGGTATTCGATGGCAGATGCATGTTTTTAGAGTCTATATTAAAATGCAACGAGTTTCATGCAGTATGAAATGACACCATTTTTGTCGTCAAAAAGTTAAAATTTTGAGTAGTGTCTGCCGCGTACCTGGTGGGTATTTGTTGGCAGATTAATAGTTTTAATTTTCTATTTCTATTTCTAATATGTGGATGGGACCTAGTATATATTATAACTTTTATTTTTAGTATGAAATAAATAATTTTTTGTGGACATACTATCGTATTTCAGTAGCCGCCATTTTCTAATCCAGCGGCTATATGATGGCAGACGTGCATTTTTCTTTTGAGAGCTTTGGACATGGTCAATTTATATGGTCAAACCTTAATATGAAATAAAACACCGTTTTGACGTGGGCTCCAGGACTATAAGATTTCTTAGGACGTTGAATAAATTCTGCTGGCACAGCACCACTACCTGATAAAGTTCTAGCTTTAACTACTGTTAAAGTAGTAATAGTCTCCCTGTCATTCTACTTTAACCGTTCCTTAAAGACAGCACTTAAATGTCACAATTCTGCTAATTGGGTTGCTGCATTGTCTATTGTTTTGGTAGACTTAAGAACAGTTGTCTAGGAAAATGGATATTCTGCAGATGAGCTTCTCTATGGTGAAAACATCTGTCTTCCTGGAGAATTTCTGGAATCCATCAAAGAAACCAGTAATGACAAATCATCATTTATTATGAAGCTAAGGTCAACACTTTGTCAGTGAAGACCAATACATGTACATAAAAACGAATTCTTGCAAACTCATCATCCTTCATCCATCCCGACCTAACCACTGCTTCTCATATGTTTGTCACAGATAACACAGTACGAAAACCGCTCTAACAGCCCTGACAAGGTCCCTTTCGCATGATTAGAAGATATATCAAATATTTCACCATTGATCGACATGGTAAAAAAGACAAAATATCGTTCGAAAGACTAAAACCTGCCTTCCTGATGCACACCAACTTCGTTGACAATCAGAACACACAGTCTTCGGCTGAGGACCAACCAACACCACCCGTTGCCACCTCAACAACTCAAAATGGTTAAACCGTTTGCCTTACAGCACACTTCCATTAGAAGGGGGAGTACTGTGGCAGCAACACTATTATTACCAAGAAAAATCAATTTTAATATTTGTGCTTGATATTAATTTAGAGACATCTGTTTTATATAAAACAGATGTCTCTAAATTAATAGGTTACACTTCTTATATTTGTATATAAAAATATAAGAAGTGTAACCTATTAATGTAAAAATACCCAAAATAAAGAATACTAAGTTGTTATTATTGTTTATGTGTTAATACTCCCACAACATATAAAGTTATAATTGATCTGAAATCCAGCAATAAACATGAGGCAAACATATTTTTTCTTGAAAATTAGGCATAGTTGAGGATCGATATCTCAGAAATTAAATGAGGTAGCAAAAAAAAGGTGTATTATCAATCATATTGCAAATTTTATTAGCTTTAATTTTGTATAGAACGTCTTTGTCAATAGCATGGATAGCTCAACTGATATAAGTGAAAACCCGAAAAAAGTGATGTAGCTAACCCTCCCTCCCCCCACATTTAGCTCACCACCAAGGAGTGGGGACTTTCAGTATGTATACCACCTTACTAGTCCAAACAATGTCCCAAAATTCAAAAACTATGCCCCTGCCATTTCCCCCCTGGTTGGCAAAAGAATGGTTTTCATTTAAATATCCCGTTTAATAGTGGTGGGGGCAGATCTAAAAGATAAAATGTAATAAGGTAAGACTTAAGCTTTGAGAGAGACTCGAAACCTCGAGGCCACTATCTGACCAGCATTGATCCAGCAAGGACCGACAGCAGAGGGCCCTTAAAGGTAAAAAAGATGTAGGCTGGTACATAGATGGTAAGCAATTTTTTTGCACAATCATTAACCTGCCAATCCCTTAAGATAGATACAGTCCATTGCTTAAAAACTAGAATGTTACCATAAAATTTAGAATGTTGCCTTATTGAAACTCATGCGAGTTATTTTGCCATAATTAGAAAGTTGCCTAAACACCCCCTTTTCGAGCAATCATTGACTGGGCTATTAGACCAAAAAGGGGCATTTTTGGGAAATAATTTATAAGGTTTTGTCTTTCAGAGGAGTTTTTCTTTTTAGGGTCAGGAATAAGAATCAAGAGTTCCCCTCCTGCCTAATGTATAAAACAACCCCAAATTCACGAAAAACCACTTCTCCCACCCCATACAATTGGCATTTTGTGTCAGCTTTCTTTATTTAACTTCAAATTCTTTTATTTAATGGAAATAATGAATAGGAATGAAAATATTCCTCATAAAATGTGTTTTATTAATAACCAAATAATTTTCAGATATTTGCTTTCAAAAGCCTTATTACAGTATTTTTAGCTAAATTCTTCAAACTGTTTTCAACTTGGAAAGCCATTTACTCAAAACCGGTAAGTACTAGCCAAATAGAGAGAGAGAGAAATACTTTATTAAAAGTTAGGCTGCTCTACTACATAGGGTTGCTTCATACACAGCATACTTATCAATCCATATAGACATTACTATTATATTACATTTTTCTATTTTCTTTAGAACACATTTTATTTGGAATATTGGAATTATTTTCTGTTCAGTTAAATGAAGAAAACTGACACAAAATCCTAATTGTGAAGGGTAGGAGGAGTGTTTTTTTGATAATTTTGGGATGTTACATCCACTAGGCAGGAAGGAAATGTTTTGATTCTTATTCCTGACCGTCAAAAGAAAACCTCTTGGGAAGGGCAAAACTTTATAAATTATTTCCCACAAATTCCCTATTTTGTTTTGGTCTAAAGTCGTACGACTATTCAAACTGTTTTTAAATTTGAAAGCCGTTTACTCAAAACCGGTAAGTACTAGCCAAACTATTAATAGAACACTTTTTATGTAGAATTTTGTGAGGAATATTTTCATTCTTATTCATCACTTCCGTCTGATCGATGGATTTTAAGTTAAATGAAGAAAACCGACACAACATTATAATTGTGGCGTGTGAGACGAGTGTTTTTTCATGAATTTGAGAATGCTTCATCCACTAGGCATGTGGGAACTCTTTTGATCCTTATTTCTATCCATAAAAAGAAAACCTCTTGTGATGGGAAACATTTTATAAATTAATTCCTCCCAAAACCCTAATGTCGTGGGACTATCCTGGCAGATTGATTGTAAAAATGTATACCAACTTTATTTGGGATATTCTTCCCACACTGTTGGGAGATACCGTTAGAGGTGAGGCATAATATATAGCATAATATGTAGCTCCAACTTGATGGGTACCCCGCACATTTCTGGGTAGCAGCAAAAAATGCAATGGACAAAGCATTTCCACACTAATGGATAGAAAGAGGAGGTCTTTTCTGATGGTCCGTGAGATCACCAGATTTAAATTGTTTAGACTTTTTTTTGTGTGGTAATTTAAAGAAAAAGTCTGGCTATTTAAAAGTCCAGCACTCAACTTCACCAGATCAAATACAAGGGAAACTGATTCAACATTATCAGGGAATAAGTCCAGAAATGGCTCAAAAAGCAACGTCTTCAATTAAACGATTATCACAGTTATGTCTCATAAACAAGGTGAAGTTTAGAAAATGTTATGCAGTAAAACTTTTATGAAATGTAAGCAGATATTTAAAATTACAAATTATGAACTTAAAAGTAGACAAAAATAAAGGAACCTTTTTTCCAAGTCATCATTACATTACCTGTAGAAGATAAAAAAGACACTATAATTCAAATTTCTTCCTGTTGAATCCTTATTGAAATAATGAAACAAGAAAACTATGAAACTTTTTTTCTTCTTAATTTTGTTTAATAGAATTGAAAGTAAATATAAAACAACAAATCTGAATATTTAGACTAAAAATTCTTTATTTATTATCGAAAAATTGGAAATCGTTTGCTGAAAGTAGTTGCTTTCAACTGCTAAAATTAGTTATAACACAGTTGAAATCGAAGGAGGGACACAGTGGCCGAGCAGGCTAACGCGATGTGTAAAACATTTGCCTGACAACCTGATAAATTGAAGATTAAAGAGTTCAAATCCCGGTACCACAGGAACTTTTAATTCTGGCATTAATCCCCTGTCTTCTCCTTCCAGAGAATCTTTACTGATTTGATTAACAAATAAAAGAATTAATTTTTTCTGGGCTCAGGAAAAAAGCTGTATAGCCAAAAAGGAGAGGAACAAGAGAAAAAAGTTGAAAAAGAAGGAACATTTTAAAGTTGAGAACTTGTGCCAAATTTGGCAACATTTACTCCATTTTTCTCACTAATTCCAAATTTTCTCCAACCATACAAATTCCTGGACATATTCTCGAATTTTTTGACTCGAAGACAACCTTTACAGACCGTTATATGTTTAGTATATTTATTCAGTAAGTTAAGTGAAAATTTTAATATTTATTTCAAAGGAAGATCTGTATTGGGTAATTAGAATAACAACATAAACAAACTGTAAGCTAGCCAAAAATTCATTATTTTTTTTAAATTTAACTTGGAGTAGGGAAAGTAATGCATTTTCTATATATATAATCAAAAATAAATAAGATATATATTTTTTATAGAAATATTTTTTTTGTGCTTCTATCTATATTTTCTATTATATCTCACAGGATACTTAAATTGGCATGAAGATTTAATCTGAGCAAACCTTATAAATTAGTTCTTCTGATGGTACATTTACATCATCTGAAGACAAAAACTTAGCGAGTTCATCAGCTGGCATCATCAAAAATTCTTGACTTGCCATCACATCAATGAAATGTTCCTAGAAAAAAGAAAAATAATAAATTGATGTTTCATTAATATAACATACCATTCAAATTAACACTATTTTATATTATATATTTTATTCTTAAAAACATAACAACTAATTTTATCACTGTTGTGATGTCTATATTATTGACCAGGTGTTAGATTTCATTATTGGATCTAGTTGAGTAGTAATAGATTAGTAGCAGGCATAATAGCAAAAATATTATAGAGAACTTATCTTTTATAAGAGCATTTTTATATCAATAACGACAAATTTTTATATATTTAGTTATATAAGTAAAGATAAGGAGCGGCACAGTTTTTATTTCCATTATTTATTTATAAATTACAGAAGTAATTCATTTATCAAAAACAATTAATATAATCTAAAGTATAAAAACGTTTTGACTGACAGAAAATTTTGTGTACGAGTAGGAAACACTTTCTCCTTCAGTCATTCTTTGGAAAATGGTACTCCACAAGGTTCACCCCTCAGCTCGACACTCTTCCTCATAGCAATCAACGGAATCACACCAGCTATTCAAATCCCCATTAAATGTTTATTATTCGCAGATGGTATAGTAATCTCAGCCCGTAGCAAATCTTTAGCGTTCATCCAGTGGAAGTTACAAGATGCTGTTGAAAAAATAGAAAATTGGACGAAGGAAACTGGGTTCAAACTATCAGCTACGAAATCCAAAAGTATCCATTTTTGCAGACAACGAAAATGTCTTATAGACCCTCAAATAAAATTAGGAGACTCCATTATTGAGTATGTAGAAAACTATAAATACTTGGGAATTATACTTGATAAGAAACTGACTTGTGTTCACCATATAAAACATTTAAGAGACGAATGTACAAGAAGAATTGGACTTCTTAAATGCATTGCTCATTCAAGCTGGGAAGCCGATAGAAAGACACTCATCCAAATATATCATAGTGTGATTCAAAGTAAAATTGAATATGGAGCCCAAATATATGGAACAGGTCGCAAAACGTTGCTAAAAATATTTGATTCCATACACAATTCGGCTCTTAGAATCCGCACAGGAGCTTTTCGAACTTCTCGAGTCGAAGTATATATGCCGAATCTGGAGAAACCTCATTAGAGATGAGATGAATATATTTATCAATAAAATATGTATCCAAATTAAAAGCATGTCCACAACACCCCTTGAGTTCAAAACTATTTGATGAAGGATCTGGTAGGCGAGGGCTACCATAGAGGAAAGCATATTTAAACAAATGATTTATAAAACGCTATATAATGTGAACATGGATTTGAACACAATTAGACCCATCCCTAACCTCAAAATCCCTAACTGGAAGAACAGTAGACCGACTATAGATGTATCAATGACAAGACGTAACAAAGAATACCCACTGGATATCCAAAACTACTTTTTTGAATTATTGGAGAAATACGAAGGATTTAATGTGATATATACCGATGCCTCCAAAATGGAAAATAGTGTTGGCTGAGCTGTATATATTAATAAAAACCAACACCAACTTCTATTTAGCTTACCTGGACAGAGCTCCATATTTACTGGAGAAGCTACTGCGATCATGAAGGCCCTCCATTGGATATCAAATTCCAATGATAATCAATGGATGATAGCATCAGACTCCAAAAGCGTCATGACAGCAATAGGAAACCCATGGCCAAGCAATTCAATTATAAGAGATATATTGAATCTATGGTGGGAATTAAAAAAAAGAACGATCAGAGTGATATTTGTCTGGGTTCCATCTCATAGTGGCATCACAGGCAATGAAAGAGCAGACCAAGCAGCTAACTTAGCAAGGAAGGGAGAGGCACCAGCCATAATTTCAATAAACTTTACCACAGTGGAGGACTGGGTACACGCAACAAAAAAGAAGTTGTTGGAAAATTGGGTAAATAGATGGAAAACTGAACAGTCAAAATTATTAGAAATAAAAACAGACTGCAACAAGTGGGCTACTAGCACAAGAATATCCAGAAGAGAAGAAACCATATTGTGTAGAATAAGAATTGGTCACTGCCTGTTTACTCACGGGTACCTTCTCAGAGGACTAGAAGCACCCACGTGCGAAAAGTGTGACAATAAACCGCAGTCAGTAAAACACCTGTTAGTAGAGTGCAACGAGTTCAACAACATTCGGCAAAAATTTAAACTACCAACAACAATAAAAGAGATATTGAGAGACAACGAAGATGGAGTAACCACCCTATTGCGATACTTAATAGAGACAAAATACTACAATAGAGTATAGAAAACTAGCCGCCCTTTACTACCCTACAAACTACCCTCCTATTTTCTTCTATCGAGCTCCTATTTTTACAAAAAAATTTAGTACCCCCACTGGACCGATATATCAGCCTTATGATTGTAATTTATTATAAATCATAATAATAATAAAAGACTTAGCAAATCCGGAGATTTGATGGCGACACCACTAATCGCTTATCATTGCCGACCACCAGTATTTGAGCTGTGCCCAGCAGTGCGCTTCCCATGTGTAGATCGGGATCAGGACTAGGATCAGAACCAAATCCAATAAACGTCTCTTGGGTTTCTTGAGGCAAGGTCTGCTGATGATGGTTGGAATCCTCTGAATGAATGAGGCTATGGTGCTTCTGCCTGCAAAATCTACAGCTCCATTTAGAGTTATGCATGAGGGTAAAATGTGGTTTTGAGACCTTTGTTGTTGGTTTTGCTGTTTCGGTTGAGCGATTGTGAGTTTTTTGCGAGATGGTTAGTGTTGGCTAAATTTTCTAGTGTTATTGCTTATGGCACTCAGTACTATTGGTCTTTGCTTCGGGTAGTACCTTTGAGAACTCCTTATACGGCTTAGAGGCTTTGATGAAAAGGAGCATGCCTTCTGATCCAAATTGGAGTTCGAAGTTGTGCCAAAGTTCCTTGACATTGTGATTGCGATTTTCTTTTGGCAGACAAAATCGATTACATCGCTGGCCTTCAGGAACAACGTGCTTGAACTTCGGAAAAGTTCGAAATTTCTCCGGGTTTGTGAATCCAGTGTTCTCAAAGCGAGGGACGCCAAAATAAATTCTGCTGGTTCTTCTAATGACTATGAATTGAAACCCTAAATGCTGTCAGCTACCCCAGTTAAAAATTTATTGTATCGTTCTGTGTCAGATTTTGCTGATTTACAATCACATTCAAGAATCTTTTGGATGAACAAAGTTGTGAGGATTCTAGGATTATTATAATTGTCATGAAGCCTTTTCCAAGCTTGAGAATATGTTCTCTCTTCGACGGGGAAGTGTGAGATAAGTGAGGCAGCTTCTCCTCTAACTGCACCAAGCAGGTAGTGGAACTTCTCAACATTGGTAAGTGTCGGTTCATTGTGGACCATTGATAAGAAGGTGTCTTTGAAGTGGCTCCACTCAAGAAGATTGCCTGAAAATGAAGGTAATGGAATTTGAGGGAGATGAGTTCTTGCTGGTGTTGCTAAACTCATGTTGAATGATGGTGAAGCATGAATTTCTTGTGACCGTCAAGGCTGGTCACGTTGAATTTTCATCAAGTGAGATTTTGCAGTGATGATCTCACGTCTTAAGGTGTCATAGTCATCCCACCAGGCTCGAGTGGGAAATTCTGAGTTGATTTGTGCATGGAGTGATTCTAGATCTTCCCAAATTACCTTAAATTTTTCTCATTCAGAGAAAGCGATTTCTAGAGTTGCCTAAAAAAACAAAGCTTCGTCTGCATTAGAGATTTCTTCTGGCTCCTGCAGTGCCGAGATTATTTCGTTTCAAAGAACGCAGGTTTCGCTCGTGAGTAGCGATTTGATATTGATATTCGACGATAGAATTAGGCATGTTAATTATATTAATTTTAGTGCTCAACAACCTAAGAGGAGAAAAGAAATGGGAAGTAAGAGGCCTTAAGAAGGGGGGCAAATGGGTAGGGTAACGGGAGGTCTAGTGAGGTGTGGGAATCTCCCCAACTCTATGCGGAACGATCGAGTTTAGTGCCCTACCTACTGCTTGTGAGTTTCCAGATCTCCTTATCCCTATCAACGCCTACTGTCACGCTACACTATGTGGCGCCCCCTGGGGAGTCTGATCGGACTCGCGGACAACAGAGGCGGGTTTCACTGCTTCCATCCATATGTATGCAGATGATATATGTGAGATAGAAGCAATGAACCTGTTAGGCACCCAATCTAGGTCGGGGCGCACAAGCACAAGCTGAGGCTGAGTAGCAGAGGGTGGATAAAAATATACTGTATTTTATCGACTCACTTGGGGAACACACCATTTTACATTATGCCAGCTGCAGGGAGAGGGGGTGGTACCTGTAGTTCCATTGACCCCCATACTCGTGGGAACAAAATGTCCGGAAACAAAAAACTTAAAAATATTAAATCGTCGGTATCCAAGGAGGACTTATCCTCCGAGGAGCTTTTAAACATATCAGAGGTCACCTCTGATAAGCTAGATGAATCTCTGGTAGGGAAATTACTAAAAACCAGAGGATATAGGATCACTCCACGTCCAAACGGAGTTGAAGGATAATGAAATAAAAGGGGGGTGGCCAGTGCTATAGTGCAGGCCCCATTAGAATAAATGGACGTGGACGAAATGAAAAAGCCAGAAATGGTTATGTTGGGAAGCAGCCTATCGCATTCTGGACTCGACCAGACGAAGAGCAGGGACCACGAGCCCAAGGACTCGAGGCCTGCCACGTCGAGGACGATAAAGAATGTGAAGAGGTGCAATAGGAGGAGGGCAAAGGTCCTATATCTACTGAACACACAAGAAGAGAATAGGCCACCTGTAGAGAAGGGCCCCAAAAGGCCTGGCGGACAATGCAGAGAGTCTAGAGAGGGAGGCCTTAGATCAAGGACAAACCACCAGCGAATTGGAGCCTACTCAAAGGCAGGTAGTGGAGGATGCAAAGACCCAAAAAGGCCTGGCTAACGAAGCTACCTGTGGTATTGGAGGGGAAAGCTACAATACCACAGACAGGAGATGAGAAGGACACACCCAAGAGGCCA